ACATCTTGGCCTAAATGTATGAAGAACAATTATTTATTTGCAAACTTTTATAACAGAAACAAGGAAAAACGTGGGAGGTTTTCAAAATTTTCTGTCTTTTTTGTTAATTTAGCAATAAATAAAAAAACCCCAGTGGTGTTTAAATACCACCAAAAGAAAGCTCTAGTTGTGTGAACAAAAATAAAATTTTAGTCTGGGTACAGTGTTGCATGACCGCACAATTGTCATTCAAAGTGTGAGAGCTCTATAAGATGAAAAATTGGCCTGGGAAGGAAGGGAGTAAAAGTGCCCTGTGTGGAAGCGGGTTAAAGGGATGAGGTGGCAACCCTATACTCCTTGGACCTTGAAGAAGGGGACATACCCTGAAAGCTTGTCCTGAAAACTGTATGTTAGTGCACATAAAAAAAGTATCACGGACAGTACTCAATTGTTTCTGTCCCAAGTGCACTAATACGGCTACAATCACCTCAAACACAAAAAAAATTATTAAAACGTAGTTTTGTGTACAGTGTTGCATGACTGTTAGGGCTCGTTAACACTTTACTTTATTTCTAACTCTTGCCAAACACCCCTAAAGCGTTTGACAGGCATTTGGGAAGCATTTTTACCTCTCCTCAAATGCCCCATGTGCTGTTTTGAGGCAGTTGATAGGCATTTGCCAAGCATTAAAACCGCACCACAAATGCCTATAATGAAGTTAAATGGTCCTAACGCTCCGCAAACACCTCAAAACCGCACCGCAAACGCCTATAATGAAGTTAAATGGTACTAACGCTCCGCAAACACCTCACAACTGCACCGCAAACGCCTATAATGAAGTTAAATGGTACTAACGCTCCGCAGACACCTCACAACCGCACCGCAAACGCCTATAATGAAGTTAAATGGTACTAACGCTCCGCAGACACCTCACAACCGCACCGCAAACGCCTATAATGAAGTTAAATGGTACTAACGCTCCGCAGACACCTCACAACCGCACCGCAAACGCCTATAATGAAGTTAAATGGTCCTAACGCTCCGCAAACACCTCACAACCGCACCGCAAACGCCTATAATGAAGTTAAATGGTACTAACGCTCCGCAAACACCTCACAACCGCACCGCAAACGCCTATAATGAAGTTAAATGGTCTTAACGCTCCGCAAACACCTCACAACCACACCGCAAACGCCTATAATGAAGTTAAATGGTCCTAACACTCCGCAAACACCTCACAACCGCACCGCAAACGCCTATAATGAAGTTAATGGTATTAACGCTACACAACCGCCTAGCAACTGCACCACAAATGCCTGCCAGGCGTTTGCGGAGCAGCACTATAGACTTGAATGGGAGGCTTCAACTCCTCCTGACTCGACACGAGGCATCAGTTTTGCCGCGATGCAACGCAACGTTAACGTTTCAGTGTGAACAGCACTGTGTGCTGCCATGTGCAGAATTTTCATAGGCTATTGAGAAGCCTTAAAAACGCTTCCCAAACGCCTGTCTGACGGCTGCTGACAAAGCTAGTGTGAACTAAATTGTAAGCTCCAAGGAGCAGGGACCTCCTAACCAGGGGCAGACTGACCATTTGGAAACTCGGGCACTGGCTGAGGGCCCAGGGTCAGTAGGGGGCCCCATGAGATGCCCATGGTACCTTTTTCATAGGCTTTTTTGAGTTTGGGCAAGGACATAGGGGCCCCATGATCCCCTATTGCCCGGGGGACCCCATGAGTTGTCAGTCCGCCCCTGCTCCTAACCCTCTTGTATTGAACTGTATTGTTGCTGTATTGTCTCCTGTTATATTGTAAAGTGCTGAGCAAACTGTTGGCACTATATAAATCCTGTATAATAATAATAACTAGAAAAGCTACAGTTTCTGGGGAAATTGTGTGAAGTGTTCTTGCCTCCACCAGTAGTCTACAACTGGAGTGGGTGGAGTAACTGGGTGGAGTGGCTTGTCACTCTGCTGCCTGCTCACACACCTGGGTTCCTATAGCAACTCACTCTACAGCAAGGGCAGAGAAGAGCAGTTAAAAACAAACTGCTCCAACGTGCTCACTTCACTGGCGCTTGCCATCTTCAAACGGTTGTAGTGTAAAAATTATAAATCCTACAGCAAAGAGCTTTATATTGTGAGAATCACAAGACCCAGACCTACATTTTGATGCATAGTATGTCTCTGAGATATTAAAAATGAAGGCACAGTCGCAGTTTAGAAATTGCCCTTCAAATTTGAGGTGGCTAGAGTGGAGTTTCAATGAATGTCAATGGCCAGCGTGAGTTGCAAACAAATGGTCATATTGTGAAAACTATCAGGACTATGGCTTAGCCGTGGACATTTTCAGTGGCAGCAGGGATAGCTGAACAAATAAATTATTATCCCTAAAAAACAAAAACAGCATGTGCATATATATCAATTTTTAGGGAGCGCAGCACAATAATTTATTTATTTACTATTATATACACTATTATATGAGTTGGGTGTGAAGTGTTTGGGAACCAAATTATTTAAGGGATAGCTGAATGTTTTGATATAAGATTTGTGTAGGTGGGCTTGAAAATGAGGGAGTGATGGCAGTTTAGAAATCATGTCCTGATTTTTCATCTCACACTCTAGCTTTGTCAGCTCCCACTCTAGTTTTGAACATTCCACCATTCATTCCTATGGGACCAATTTCACCACAAAAATGCCGGTATTTCGTGAACCATTGGGCGAAACGTTCCACAAAGTAATAGCACACCAATCAGGAACAATCCGCACGTTTCGGTATATTACTGTCTATGTAGTGTAAACTGTGGGAGGAGTTAGGGTGGTAAATGTGGCTATAATAATAAGAACATATATGTGAGATAACAGTAAGGGGTCTGCCATGCAAGAACACATTGTCATTCATTCAGTGTGAGAGCGCTGAAAGCTGAAAATTTGCCTGGGCAGGAAGGGGGCAAAAGTGCTCAGTTATGATGTTTCTAAACATGAAATTCTTCAGAAAACGGATTTTTTCCCTTCTTCCTCATAGTTAATATTGGATAGTGTAAATTCTGAATGATTACACTCGTCTGATTGTAGAAAGTTTATGCAGGGACTTGTCCAGGAGTGGCGCTCTACTTACCTTCAGTGGCGATTGTCCTGAAGAATCTCTATGGTTGGTCATGCCCATGGATGACGTCATCGGCTGTGCGTCTCCGGTAAACACGTGTGTGCTGCTTCCATAGCAGAGAAGTGAGCGGTGGTACTTTGTGAGCGATCGCTAATCAAAGCTACGGCGTGTGAGTTTACATCGGTACGCGCCGCTGTTTCGTTATTCGTGTCACGTGTGGTCTAGCTATGTACATGTATTTACCAAGGCGGTGACAGTGCAGCAGTGTAATGAAGGGGGACCCGGCTTAGCAGTGACAGCTTGTTTTCTACTTTTAGGAGACGGCACATGGAATCTCATTTCAGGAGTTTATTAGTGGGGTTGTCCTATAGCATAGATACTGGAGCTGTCAGCTTGTACCTCTTGTAGCTAGGGTTGCCACCTCATCTCTTTAATATTGGTGTGATTCTGAAACTGAGATCAGACGTTTTTAACCACAAGCCTACAGGGCACTTATACCCCCTTCCTGCCCGGCCAATGTCCAGCTTTCAGCGCTGTCACACTTTGACAATTGTGCGGGTATTCAACATTGCACCCATATGACATTTTTATAATATTTTTGTGACAGAGCTTTCTTTTGGTGGTATTTAATCACCTCTGGGATTTTTATTTTTTCTTAAACCAAAAACCACTGAAAAATTTGAAAAAAAAAAAAAGTTTTTTCTTAGTTTTTGTTATAAAATTTGTAAAGTGATTTTTCTCCTTCACTATGTGCTAATGAGGCTGCAGTGATGGGCACAGTGTGACAGAGCTATCTGTCACAAAAAAAAATGATAAAAATTTCAAAGTGTGACAGCGCTGAAAGCTGGAAATTGGCCTGGGCAGGAAGGGGGTATAAGTGCCTTGTAGGTGAGTGGTTAAATGTATTTTACTTTATTGCAATCACAAGGGGGCTAACAAGCCTCATGTGTGGTTAGCATTGCCAGACAACAGGTCTTCTTTATGGTGGCACTGGGGAGTAGAGGATTATTAGACCCCCAGAGGGTCCCCTACCCCTCAATGTAACTATTCAAACATAGATAGCTACATTACCCAAGAAACAGCTGTGACCCCAAAAATGATGTAATACAAGCCACCTTCCTGTGGAAAAGAAGGGAAGCCGGTATCAAGCTCACAGCTATTGCAAGCTTGACTTAACCAGTTGTCCAACTAACCACTTGTCTACCATGATCTTTTTAAACATACCTTAGTAGACAAATGATTAAGGAAAAACTAGACTCTGTAATACCTCCACTACAGCAATACAACATCTTTTTCCCCAGGTGTCAACTTTTTTTCGGCTGTTTTTAGTGTCAGGTGCAGGATTACGTAATTCCAATCATGCTATGGAGTTTATTCATTATACACCAAGGCTCCATGGCAAAAATGTACCCTGAGCTGCGATTGCACAGCTCAGTGTACATTATAAGGGTGACTACAAACAGACAGGTAAGTTTTTTTTATTTATTGCAGAAGGGAAATAGCATGACTCTTCCACAATAAAAAGTCTGGCTGCTCACATTTTATAAAAACATTTTAGTTCCATTGTAAGGAGAAATCTTCTCAACAGGGCACAGATGACAAGTAAAACCTGACAGAGGTTGTATTCCTTTTCTATGCTTTCAAAATGTAAAGAGAGAAAGGGCTAAGGTACTACTCCAAATTGTGTATTAAAAATGTGTGTGTGTCTCTCTCTCTCTCTCTCTCTCTCTCTCTCTCTCTCTGTGTGTGTGTATGTGTGTATATATATATATATATATATATATATATATATATATATATATATATATATATATATAAAATGTATATCTATTTATGTAAACAAATTGCAATAAACAGCCCAGTGAGTGACTACTGAAGCGAATGAATGATATTTGTTTCCCTGTTAGTTTTGCAGCTATGAAGGAAGACGTGGGAAGAATTTTGATTCAGTTTAAAAATGAAAGTGGAGAGGTGCTGGGATCTTCCTTTGATGTACCCGTGGATATAACACCTGACAAACTGCAGCTGGTCTGCAATGCTCTGTTACAGGAGGTACAGTCATCTATGCTTGACAATAATTAAATCTACATCAATAAAGCATCATTTATAATCTTTGTGTTTTATTATTGCTGGATTAAGCAGTTGTGTTATTTTGTTTCTGACTTTTTTGAAGATTCAACAAATTGGTTGTAAAGGTTTCATGAGCTAGGTAGATTGAAGAGTGTGATGAAAGATGTACAGCACAAGTTCACCCCTTTATGCTAGTCAAAGCCAACACTTTAAATGGGTTTTGAAACCCAAGGCCAGTAGGAGGGGATCCTGATCTCTCTGTACTGTGATTGGCTGCACAGTGCTGATCCCTTTGGGATCCCATCCTACCAACTCCTGATTGTGTATGACTGTGAGCTGTCAGTGACAGATTAGTCACAAGTCTAGGGGCTCAATGGAGTACTCCCCAGAACTACATAGCAGTGCATATGTGGCAGCTGGCTGTTAAGGCCCATTCACCCTGCCACCACATAGATGCGAATCGCAGTCAGGGTTAAACAGCAGCTCTATAGGGGGAAAGGTGGGCAAATATAATAGCAAAACAAACATATAAAATTACTGCTTTACCTTTTGAAAAATGTGTAAATGAATTTGTGTAATTTCCCATGTTTTGTAGAAGATGAAGTTACAAGACTTTTCAGAGCCCAAAATTATGCAAATTCTGAGTTATACCCATCTTCTCTGGATAATTATGGAAAATGCTTGCATGGGGCACCGACCTAAATTCTTCCTTTGTCCTATAAAATGGGCAGTCCCACTGGAAACCTAACTTCAGCTTTTAGCTGGCCTGTGGAAACCCAGTAGGAAAAAAAAAACAAAAAAAACTTCATGTTCTGACATCTGTCAAATAGTTATGTTTGAAAATAATACCTCGCCTCTCTTTTTGTCTGAAAGTCACAGAATGAAATGAGGAGATATCCCCCAAATGGGGACATTGCAGTTAACAGTTGACATGTTTTAACCTTTGTACATTCTGTCCAAACTAAACAAAAACGTTTGACTGGAGTTGGGCCTAACAGATGCTTTCTTCCTGCAAATAAATGTGTTATTCTCTAAAACTGGAAAAAAAAATTAAAGTTGGATGGGTTGTCCATTGGATCTTACCAGATTTCCAACTCCTTTTTTTCTGGTAAGAAAATGAAAGCTAAAACATTGATTTTATGTTCACAGCTACTCTCCTTTTGTCCTGGCTCTAGAGAGTAGTCTCCCCACTGGCAAAATAGTGCTATGTGGCTCCTTTGCTGGGACTTGTGGTAGATGGTACACATTTTTTTTTTTTTCCATTTTGTATTTGTTGTTATTTCAGCTATGAAGTAGATTTTCTAAAAGCAGTATGTTTGTTTCAGGAGGAAGCTGTGCCACTTGCCTTTTTTGTCCATGATGTGGAGATTGTGACATCTTTGGAAAAAACCTTGGAGAAGCAGACTGTGGAAACAGAAAAGGTTTTGGATGTAATTTATCAACCACAAGCTGTGTTCAAGGTCCGTGCAGTAACACGATGCACCAGTTCTTTGGAGGGGCATTCTGAAGCTGTGATCTCAGTTGCATTCAGCCCAACTGGAAAGTAAGCATGTTTGCAAAATGTTTGAAATCAACTTTGTCATTATAGAATAATTTGTTTTGGTTGAATGGTTATTGGGGCATCGAGTGTTCACAATTTTATTTTCTGCTGCCACCATATTGTAAAGCTGGATAAACCGCTGATTTTCTGCCTTTTGCTAACAATGGGGGAGATTTACGAAAACTGGTGCACTCAGAATCTGGTGAAGCTGTGCATGGTGGCCAATCACCTTCTAACTTCAGCTTGTTCAATTAAGCTGACAATAACTGGAAGCTAATTGGCTTCTATGCAGAGATGCACCAGATTTTATACCATGCTGTTTTATTTAATTACCCCCAATGCCTGGCTGAACTAAATGTAAAGTCAATTGATCTCATTGTGAGGCTTCTAAAAGGCTAACAGGCACAGCTGAGGGAGTGGAGTTCTCTTGGCTCCAACAACAGGGCTCAATAAGCAAGCATAGCTTCACTTAAAAACTACCTTTTTAACACCCTTTATTCAAAGAAAAACGATGACATTTAGAGTGGAGCTGATGTTTCATTATGTTTGCATGCAGGTACTTGGCCAGTGGGTCAGGAGACACCACAGTACGCTTCTGGGACCTCACCACAGAGACACCACACTTTACTTCCAAGGGTTAGTAAGCCAGACTATTTCTGTTATTTCACCTTTGTGGCTACAGTGTACTTGTATTTGAACACAATTTTTTATTAGTCTATACAATCAATGTTAGATCACTTTTAAATGGTCAGTCCACCCAAAATTGATATTTAGCTTTATAGCAGATGCTGGAGAGTTAAAGTAGAACTCCAGGAATTTTATTCGGAAAGTACAGCAGTAGAAAAGTGTAGGGTGTAAATTACACTTGTGTACTGTCTTTTGACGATGCAGCTCACCAACAAATATTAGGTGCGAAGCAGTACTGTTGGTTCAGTGCTTATGTGCCCTGTCCCTGCTGTTTTATGAATGGAATTAGTTGCTGCCAATCATGACCACCAAAGATTTTCATAGCAGCAACCATTTTTTTTTTTTTTTTTTTTAACTAGCCTGGATAAAAAATAGGGAGTGCGCTGACCAGGAGTATTAAACCTTTTGGCAATGCTGTATTCCATGCACCGTTTTCGTGGAGCCATATCCTGATTAGATCAGCATGGAGTTAGTGTTATTAAGCCCAAATCTTTATAAACTGTCAATACTAGCTATATTACATTGTGTTTACGCTCACTTTGCCACCAGAGCATTCATTTTCTGTAGATTGCAAAAAACCTGGTTGATCCTTCCTTCTGTTCACTGCCCCTCCCTCCTTGTTTGTGTCCCAACTGCAGCCTGAGATTGTGTGGACCAGCCGTTGCCAACTTTACTGAGCATGTTCCAGTTCCTTTTTTAAGCTGGTCATTTCCTCTTTTGTCTTACCTCTGCAGACTACATAACTATAGAGTCACACGTGGATGTATACACAGTGGTAAATGACTCTCCTCCCTTCTCCACCATGCCCTCCTCCTCCATGCCCTCACATTGGTAAACACTATGTGGGCAGGATATAAAATGTTAATGGATGGAGGCTTCACCTTATTGTTAGTCCCAGCACATACACTCACCGGCCACTTTATTAGGCACACCTGTTCAATTGCTTGGTAACACAAATTGCTAATCGGCCAATCACATGGCAGCAACTCAATGCATTTAGGCATGTAGACATGGTGAAGAAAACTTGCTGAAATTCAAACTGAGCATCAGAATGGGGAAGAAAGGGGATTTAAGTGACTTTGAACGAGGCATAGTTGTTGGTAACAGGCTGGTCTGAGTATTTCAAAAACTGCTGATCTACTGGGATTTTCATGCACAAAATCTAGAATTGTCAGAAAAAGAGAACATTTCCAGTGAGCAGCAGTTGTGTGGAGGAAAATGCCTTGTTGATGTCGGAGAAGAATGGGCAGGCTGGTTGCTACGACATTCAGATGGTAGGGTCAGAATTTGGTGTAAACAACATGAAAGCGTGGATCCATCCTGCCTTGTATCAACGGTTTAGGCTGGGGGTGTAATGGTGTGGGGGAAATTTTCTTGGCACTAGCAAGGTGTACCTAATAAAGTGGCCGGTGAGTGTACACACCATAGACACAATCTGGAGGGGCGTGACAGCCTGTGATTGGCAGAACCTCTTCCAGATATCTTTACAGTGTGAACAAACTGAAAACTATTGTCAATCAACTTGGCACTGAGAGCCTGAGCCAGACGCTCCTGCCCCCTCACAGCCCAGTGCTCACTGGAGGATTAGAACAGAGAGCAGTAATTGACAGTCACTACTCTCTGCTCAGTGAAGACCAAGAACTGAGTGATCAGTGGTCATGTGATCGCTCAGTTCTCGTCTTGGAGCCGGCGAGGGACAGCTGCAGCATCCGACCAATTTTGAAGCCATATATGTGAGTATGAATGTGTTTTTTGTTTTTAATTCACACACTGCTCCACTGCACTGCACTGCACTTATCTGCTCCAGGTTCTATTACAGAGTACCTTGAAAGTTCCTTAATTTTCTCAGCTATATATACTGTACATCTCGCTGTTCTTTCCAAATATAGCTCCTGGAGCTCTCCTTTAAATCACTGACATTTTTATATCTCTGAGTGATTTATACAGATTAGGCATTATAGAAACAAAACCATTAGAATTTATTTTCAGTTCTGTAAAGTACAAATGTGGCCCGAATATGGACATTAAAATGGTTACTTATCCTCAACAAGCAGTAAAAAAAAGCTTTAAAATCTTTCGCTGAACTGCAGTTACAGCCGCTATGAAGTAGTTTGTCTTCAAAGTTCACAGTTGAAGCAGTGAAGTCCCTGCAGGCAGTGGCATCCCAAAACAGGGGGATGCGGTCCGCACCGGGTGACACCGACCGCACGGGGTGACACCGGACCCGCTCCACGAAAAGGTAAGTTGTAAAGCAAGCCGACGATCCATCCTGCGGGGATTGTCGGCTTTTTTTTTTTTTACAACTTACCTTTTCTGGGAGTGGGTCCGGTGTGACCCCGTATAGGTTGCATGCCGACGATCCTGCGGAGTCGATCCATTATGCTCAATACGCAGATCCGATCCATTCTGGGGGGATCATCGGAGGGGTGTCACCAAGTGTTACCGCAACGGGTGACACCAACCCTAGGGACGCCTCTGCCTGCAGGTGCTACAGGTCTCAGCACTTTTTTCTCTTCTCTTCCCGTGCTCCTGATCTGTATTTACAATGGAGAGTAGAAGGTTGGCAGAGGGAAACCTGCAGTTACCGAGGTCAGTCAGGGTTTGTTTTAAAGCTCATTTTACTTCTGTACATTTTTATATGTCCATACTCTAGCAACATTTAGTTTTTAATTTTTTTTAAATCTCCATTTACCTGATGCCAGGTTATCATCAATTCAGACTCTTACCCATTGTTCAGATACAGCATTTTCCTGTTGTAATCCGAATCTGCCAATGCTTAGGTCCCATGCCACCATCTTGCTTTTTATGAAATTGGGAGGAGACTGTCTTTTCTGGGTTCAGGCAGTCACTTTATGACTCTGTGCCACCAAGCCCACCCTATGCCTTCTGGGATATGTGACATGCATTTATCATGAGGCATAGGGAGCATAGAATGTCATTCTTGTCTAGGCACAGGCATGTAAAATAAAGAAAATAGAATAAAATCAAACAAAAAACGGAGGTTGGGAAGCCAATTCTCATGTAGTTGAATGGGGGGGGGAGTTTTTGAGAAGAGTTTATTTTTAGTGTAAAGGCCTGCTTTAATTTTTTTTTTCTTCTTCTGTACACGTCTATACATGTTTATCATATATATCTCTGTATCACAGGGCATACACATTGGGTGCTCAGTATTGCTTGGTCACCAGACGGAAAGAAACTTGCATCAGGCTGTAAGAATAGTCAGGTGAGTTATGAGTTCCTAATGAGTTTGGCAAGGTTCTCTTATCATTTTTTCTTTTGCCCTCCTACAATAATATAGTCGACTAATGTTTTTGGTGATATATTTTTTTTGTAATTTCTTTTACGGACTACTCTAATATGTGTCTATCTTCCCAGTAAAACTGCTGTGCAGTATGGAGGCTTCCTATATTTTAACAATTACATTTTTCTACCCATTTGCAATGTAAATAAAGTGGTTGTAAACCTCTAACATGAAATATATGAACAAAGCATATCCCTCTATAGCAGGGGTGCTCAACCTTTTGAAGAGCGAGAGCCACTTAAGTGATTTGGTAATCAGTCACAGGCCACAATGAATTGAAATAGATTAGATTTTTTTATAGCATAATGAACGTTCCCTTCCTTCAGCCGCTGAATGTCGGCGGGAGGGAGATGGAGAGAAGTCGGCTTTCAACGGTTGCAGCAGGAAAATGGAGAGGATAGTTTTTTGTATGTGCTGCCTGGAGCGTGGGGCAGGAGTGGTAAAAAACACATCTTAACTATGGGTTTTTATTGTCCCCAGATAGCAAATGTAAAGAAGTCCACACTGTCCTAAGCGCCCTATAAGGCTGCTTTCACAATAACTCTCTGAATTTTAACTTTACCGCAGTACACTTGCGGCTTACCTGCTGGCTTGCTGCGCTTTGCTATAGACCTCTATTTTATTCTTTCGGGTGTGGTGCACTTTCTGAAAGTGCACCCTAAACTCTTGTGTTCAGGAGTTTTGGTGCGCTTTCAGAAAGTACACCAAACTCATAGGATATAATAGAAGTCTGTGGCTCAGTGCAATTACCCCCAGGTACACTGCGCTGTACCCTCAGATCAGTGTGAAAGCAGCCTAATAGTATTTAACTCTTTTATAGGTGCTAATATGCCCTTTGCAAAAGTGCAGTGTATGTGCTGTTTAATATACTAACCATTTTTTTCCTCTTCCAGCTTCTGGCATCTCTCTTCTCCAGGCTGCTACAAAGGTCCCAGGCAAGGTGCACTTAGTGTCACTCTGCCTGCGACAGGAGCTGGTGCTGAAGAGGAAGCATTAGCTTATGCAGCTCCTGTTCTCTCTGCTGCCGTTTGCTTCCTCTGCTGCCAGGTTGATGCTCTGGGATGGCAAGTCGGCAAGCCCAGATCACGATCATCAGGTTGTCGACCCCAGGCATACACTTCCCTGGTTTGAAGGGGAGGGCCATATCAGAGGGATTCAATGGCCACAGGTTGAGCACCCCTGGACTCTGTTGAGTACGTGTCTCAATCCAGAGCGCTAAGTGTAATTTCTGTCTGCTGCCTCATTCATTGTGGAGGGAGCTCTACCATGCAGCCTATGATTGACAGGGTGTGTCCCTTCCCTCCAATCAGCTCTCACTGAACTCTGCAGAGTGTACCTTTAGCTCCCTGCTTTCTGAAAGCTCAGACAAGCTGTATAAATTCTGAACTTTCTTCAGCTGCAAAGAAGGGAAAACTGAAGATAAACAGATACAATATTTGTAGGAGGATTTGTTTCACCTCTGTGTATCACCTGAGGCCAGTTACTGCACTGGGTTATATGTAAGGATTTACAACCACTTTAACCTACATATTGTCAGCCAGCATTTGTGACAGTATAAAGATCATATGGAAAAATGTATACCAGTTATCTGGTTTTTGTGTTATTTTGCTTCTCCGTGCACATGGTTAAATGATCTTCAAAATTTAAAGTAACCGTTTTGAATTTGTATTCATTGCATCAACATTTGGTAACTGCTTATTATACACTTTCAGATTTTTATATGGGACCCAAACACTGGAAAGCAGATTGGTAAAACACTGATCGGACACACACAAAATGGATAACGTGGCTAAGCTGGGAGCCTCTTCACTTGTAAGCTATACACCCCATTTTCTTTTTTTATAGTTGTATTTTTATTGAAAGGTTTAACAAGTACATAATATAGGCACATAGAAAAATATTAGGCAAAAGATAACTTGACAATTAAATCTCGAGAAAAGTAGTTATGTTTTCCAAATGGAACATGCCATAAATGTGCCCAACAGAGACATGAAAAGATACAAAAGGAACATTAAGGTGGTGTAACAGGTTTTAGACCAAAACACTAGACATAACCGTATGTAAATGAGTCTAAAAGGAAGTTTCTTAGAAGGAGGATACTTATAGGTAGAGGATGCAAAATAATAAAGGTGTCAGTTAAGGTCATAGAGAGTTATAACTACTTTAGAGAGAGGGAAGAGGAGAGTGAATGTAGAGATGTCCCATGGCTCCCATACAGCCTCAAAGAGAGAAATGGGATCACTATTAAGGGCAGTCAAATACTCCATTCTTCTGACCTCAGCTGTGACTGTCCCTGCCTGGAGAACACAGTGATTATTGCTAGCGGCTATAGCAACCACTAGCAGTAATCGCATCTAAAATCCAGCAAGCTGGTTGTACCCAAGTTGATAGATTTAACTTGGGTACATTCAGCCTGCCCATTCATGGTTCGAATCTTGGCCGAGATTCAAACCGTCTATGGCTGGTTTAAGTCTATCTAAATTGTGCTGTCTTCCCAGGTGTTGACGCACACCTAGGTGAGGAGGAGATGTATGATCCAGAGCAGTTTGCTGTGTCTTCATTTTCTAATAGCAAAAATTAGTTAATAGATGCCTGCATGTCCTTTTTTGTTTTTCATTTAGCTTCTAAAAAAGCATGTATTCAGTACTGTTATGTCTTTTTTTTTTTTTTTTTTTTTTTTTTTTTTTTTTTACCACCATGGAAGCTGTGTAAAGTATTTGGTCTTATTGTTGTAGGAATCCAGAGTGCAGATACCTTGCCAGTTCATCCAAAGATTGTAGCGTGCGTATCTGGGATACTGTCTTGGGCCAGTGCCAGAAGATACTTACCAGCCACACACAATCAGTGACTACAGTGAAGTGGGGAGGAGATGGTCTGCTTTATTCCTCTTCACAGGACAGAACGATAAAAGTCTGGAGATCAAGCGATGTACGTTTTTGGCGATACTGCAAAGGCAATTAAAATTTTCAGTTACTAGCTGTTTCAGGAAAATTACAGATAAATAGTTTACTTGGAGTTAAAAGTGGAAAAGTGTCTGCCTTACCCAGGGCAACAGGTTATCATCGTTTTTTAAAATGAGGGGGGGGGGGGGGAGAAGTAGAAGCCAGTTTAGCAAAAAAAAAAATAGGAATGACTCACTCAATCCCTATTTATTGCAGCCGTGAAATGGATGCAAATATTACAAAGGATTTGTAGCACGTATTTAGTCTCAGAACTTACTAGTAACTGTTAATGAAATAACACCCAGGTACTTTTAAGTTTATAAATGCTGTATAAATGTAGGCAAAGGTTAAATTGTCCATTAAAAGGAACTTACTGCTTTAAATAAAGCCGACAAACAAATGATTCAGAAAAATACATGTGGCTTGTGGTGCCTGCTATTCTCTGTATTTTGCATCGGTTCACACTGGACCCGGCTTTGAAATCGTGTGACTTCACTTGAAGTCGCATACTTTCAAAGTCGGATGGCAGTGCGACTTCAGGTGATACTTGATAGACATCTGTGCGACCTCATGCACAGATGTCTATGCAAGTCGCACCCCAAATTGGGAAAAGTAGTGCAAGAACTACTTTTCTAAGCGCTGCAACTCCAATTTTGATTAGAACAGTTCCATTTCCAATCATTGCATGTGATTTAAACGGTCAATCGCATCAGCGTGAACCAGGGTTTAAAGAACTCTAAAGCCAAAACGTTTACCTTTTGGTAGTGGGGAATAATTAAAAAGCCAGGTCAGGTTTTTATTGCTTTGAATGTTTAATGTAGAACTAAGGGTGTGAGGTTTTTCAGGGTTGAAAATAATGCTTTCTTGTCTGTAGCCATGTTAAAACGTCAATAAAATGTAGTTGAGTAGAAAATAGAACTATAGGCAAAACTTTTTTTTCTTTTCATTCTTGGATAGATTAGGGAAGGGTTTTATCCCCTGTCAGATTTTTTGTGTCCAAGTGGATAGATTTCTTCACTTCCTGTCCCATAGTCAATACCGGAAGTGAGAGGAAATCCCTCCAAATTGAGGGAATCCCTAGTTGTCACTAGAACTAGTGTTCCCATTGGAAAATTTCCCCTCTATTACTATTCTGGTGACAACGCAAATTTTGGAATTTTCCTTCACTTTCTCTGATAACCGTAAACAGGACAAATAGAGAGGATGAATCTCCCTAATGGGAACACACAGTGGTAAAAACCTGACAGGTGTTCTAATCCCTCTCCACTGTATCCAAAATTAAAAAAAAAGTTTTGCCTTTTAGTTAGACTTTTAAAAACTTTTATGTCACATCACATGCAAATATAGCCCAGCTTGTGCACGTAGGGGGTCCTGTCTGCTACCCCACCCAGATTTTAGACATAATCTTGGTTACTATCAAGCACAATAATCCTGGTCTACGTTTTTCTTGGGCTGGTTATGAACTTGTGCCCACTATATTTTACATTTGTTTTGAGAAGATGCGTGGCCATTGAAAGTCAGTGGATTTACAATGCTTAACCACTTGCCTACTGGGCACTTTCACCCCCTTCCTGTCGAGTCCAATTTTCAACTTTCAGTTCTGTCGCACTTTCAATTACAATTGCGTGGTCACTAAACACTGTACCGAAATTAAATTTTTTTTTTTTTTTTTTTTTTTTGAGACAGTGTTTTCTTTTGATGGTGTTTAATCACCACTGTGTTTTTGTTTTTTAAACGAAAAAAGACAAATGTTCGGTTATAAAATTTTGCAAATAAATAATTTTTCTTCTTCAACGATGGAGGCTGCACAGATGGCCACTAACTGGCAGTGATAAGCTGCACAGGTTGGCACTGGTATGTTGCACAGATGGGCACTGATTGGGCCTATTGTACAATGATGTGAACTGATTAAAGTGAAATTCCAGCTTAAATCTAACTAGCTATACAAATGTCCCTTTCTCACACCTATGCTGACTAATCCATGTAAGAAAGATGTATATACTTTCTTATTTTCAGGCCGCTCCTTTCCATTCATGTGATCCCCTGTGCCAGCCAGTGGAGGTTGCAAGGAAGAGACGAGAGCGCTCAACAACAGCTGGTTAAGCTTGGAGTGGTGACATCACCCATAGACTCCCACGGCCTATCCATTGTTGGCGCTCCCTCCTCTCCCCTGAACCCGCTGCTGGCTGACACAGGGAAGCAGGATCAAGTGATCGGAATGGAGCAGGCCAAAAATAGGTAAGTATTTGTATCCTTTTGTTATACAGCTGTTCGCATAGGTTTTAGGAGGGAGGAGAAGACTATTTTAAGGCTAGTTAGGTTTAGGCTGGAATTCTACTTCTAGCTTCTCCTGTTTTGTTTTCAGAACAGAAAGTGAAGGGAAATTTCTTTATTGGGACACTGATGGCAAAAAGACCTGACAGGTGTTTCAAGCACTCCGATTCCAAATACTTTATTAACCAGGGAGCCCTTTTGCCCCAGGACCATGGATACACATGCTAAAGCCTCTATTGGTAATTTTGGATCTTGCACTTGGCTTGTTGAATTATTGGGGTGGGGGGGTGAGCTTTGTCTCAGATAAGAATGTGTCCTAAATAAGGAGTCCTCCCAGGTACACCAGAAGGATTAACGGAAAGGTACTAGCAAGTGTGATACGGTGTCTGCCTTTTGAGTGTATATTTATTTATTGCTTTTATTTAAATGACTGAAAGTTTCACTGTAAGAATGTCAATTTTTTATTTTTTAACATTTTGCAAATTTCTTGCAGGGAGTTCTTTGCCGCACTCTTCAAGGTCACGGTCACTGGGTTAATACAATGGCACTAAGTACAGACTATGTTCTCCGGACCGGGGCCTTCAACCCTGCTGAAGCCTCCATCAATCCCCAGGACATGCAAGGCTCCTGTAAGAGCTATTAATGAAATCTAAAATTAAGTAGGCTAGCTCACTCTCAGAGAAAAAATATCCTCTAAATCTTTAAGCAAACCTTTGCTGAGGACTTTCAATCACTGACCAAAGCAAACCTGCAGACAAAGGGGTCATATCTGCATTCTTTCGGGTCACAAACTCTGTAGAAATGAAATGCATTAGAGCAGCATGATGATCAAAAATGTAATATAGTGCAGCTTAGATGCAGTGACTGAATTGATTTTCTTTTTCAGATTTTTTTTTTATTTCTTTTTTTTTTTTTCCTTGGTGGTCCAGACAGCAATACACTTCTTGTTCTAGGATGACAACCCTCATATTTTTGTTTCTTGGGTTTTGGAAACGTTTTAAAGCTGGCCATACATGGATCAAAATTCAGCCAGTTCAGCAGGGATTGGCCAGATTTTAATCCATGTATGGGCAGGCTGATTGTTCAGAAGTTGATCTACCGATCAACTTTTGTACAACCAGCCTGTTGGAAAATTTCCGCATGATCTGCACTGCTGGCTATAGCCGGCAGCCCTGATCAGTGTGTTAAGACAGTTGGGAAAGTCTCTCTGCTGTCAGAATACAATACTTCAGCGAGAGTGATTTCCCCCATCCACATCTAGTGTGTGTGTGGATGGTGAGTTGAGATCGAAGGACTCTTCATATCAGACGGAAAATATCCACTGGATCTTAATGGCATTTAATAAAAACTTTGCAACTAAAACTTGTCTTCACTTAGTGAAGGGATCCATTTTGCTTGGGTAAATTTCCTAAAACTGGTGCACTCAGAATCTGGTGCAGCTGTGCAATGTAGCCCATCAGCTTCTAGCTTCACCTTGCTCAAATAAGCTTTGGGTTAAAAACCTGGAAGCTGATTGGTTTCTTTGCAGAGTTACACCAGGTTTTGCACATTCTAGTTTTAGTAAATAACCCCCTGTGGGTTCAATCTTTTAGCTGCCACTGATGTAAGGCTTGCATTGGTGGTGCTTACACATACTCCCAGCAGCTGCAATGGCTAGGAATGTGTGTGCACTTTACAAGTCAAATGTTGACTTTCTCCTGAAAGTGGTTCAGACTGCAGTAAAGCCACATGATCACTTTCACAGGCACCGGAACACACTCCCTATTTGCCTATGGATGGATTTTGGAAGTTTGTTACCGTTTCATGGTCTCGCACAATAGCTTGACATGTCTGGTATCTGTTTACTCCATCCAACCTCATCTTTTGTATTTTACAAAAAATCTAATATATTGCGTTTGTGTGCACTAAAACTAACTTTAGTGTATTTTTTTTTACTGAAAAATAAGTTTGATAAAATGTTATGCTAATATTGTGTGACATTTTTCCAGCGTCTCTGCTTTCACAAAATATGTAATGTTTAGGGGTTTTAACTAGTCTTCAGGCCTAAAATTTGCATTTTAACTTGTTTGCAAAAAAAATGGCTGAAATGTCCCTGACCGCAAAAAGGGTTTATCAGCTAAAGCTCCACAGTGCTTCATTCATATCAGCACATTCTTCAGCAATCACCAGAAACTGAACATATAAAAGTGCAGCGCTAAGGGATCAATTGTAAATTAAAACATGATATAAACATAATATGTGCTCATGGATGATGTATATAACATCTATATATGTGAAAGTCCCAAGTGAAATGTACTGAGTGAAACCAAAAATTCCTCAGTGATACGGTGTGATGACTAGTAATCAAAACAAATGTGTCATCCGTGTGGGCACAAAAACCATCCGTGACAGTCCTCCACCACTATGCACTCACCAGAAATAAAATAAACCAGACTTGGAGCAGAGCAATCCCTCCAGGCAATGTAAAGCTCCTCCGCTGTAGGAATCTCATATGGTGTATCAGAAGTGGAATAGAACAAGCTCTGCACAGAGAGATCTCTCCAAGCAATAAACCGCTCCTCCGCTATAGAAATCTCATCTAGGAGGCGAGTCCCTTTGAGAACATGTGTCTACAAGAAGCATAGTGGTGGAGGACTCACAGATGGGTTTTTTGCCTACACTGATGGTCTGTTTGTTTTGATTACTGGTCATCACACCATATAACTGAGACATTTTTGGCTTCACTTTGGACTTTCACATATATAGATGTTATATACATTATCCATGAGCACATATTATGATTATATCCTATTTTAATTTATAATTGATCACTTAGCACTGCACTTTTATATGTTAATTTTTTGTGGATGAAGGGGTTCATTTCTTGTACTAGCTGCTTTTCATTGGCTCTTTAGCGCTCACTTGTATTCATATTTAAAAGGTATTGTAATATGTTAACTTATTAGACAAACAGTTTTACCTGCCTTGTAGAAAGTGGAGTGTTTAACTGTCTCCCCTTTACTACATTTTGCTAGTACAAAGACAAAAACAGATTCATGTGATTTTATGCTTTTGGATTTTAATTAAATTTTCCTTATTAAGATGCATGTCAACCAAGAGTTAATGCCATTTAAAGCTTCCTTTCAGTATAGCATGTTTTTCTTGTTACTTTTCAGTGGAGGTACTAAAGGAAAAAGCCTTGCAGCGATACAATCAAGTTCGGGTGTGTATACTATGGCTTCCATTGATTTTGATTTCTATACTGTAATTACACACATTGAGTCGCACTTTGTGCAATTTGCACTGCTGTGGAAATTTTTATTATTTTATTTACTTTTTTTGGTTGATTTTGCTCCAACACAGGGAAACGCTCCAGAGAGACTTGTGTCTGGCTCTGATGATTTCACACTCTTCCTCTGGGCTCCTGCTGAAGATAAAAAGCCTTTACAGAGAATGACTGGACACCAGGCTCTAATCAATGAGGTCCTTTTTTCACCTGACACTAGAATCATCGCCAGTGCTTCCTTTGATAAATCAGTCAAGCTGTGGGATGGAAAAACTGGAAAGTAAGTGTTGTCAAAGCCTTTGGATCTGTAACTATTTGTTGACCTAAACAGATAATTTTTACGAATTGCTTTTCCTCATTTTACTTACGTTTTTCTAAATTGATGTATTTTTGTAATCAATTGTCTGTCTGCTATTTCTTGCACTAACTCATTCTGATTTATATAGTAAAATGTGCATTTGTTTTTCTCATTGAATTGTAGGTTCTTAGCATCTTTACGTGGCCATGTATCTGCTGTGTATCAGATTGCTTGGTCAGCAGATAGCAGGCTGTTGGTCAGCGGAAGCAGCGACAGTACACTCAAAGTCTGGGATACTAAAACCAAGAAGCTGGCTGTGGATCTCCCAGGGCATGCAGATGAGGTACACAAATGATTTTGTTCAAGATTGGCAAAGAACAGTCTGAGAAGATATCTTTGTAACCATCATTTAAACTCTTTCTTGCTGTAGGTCTATGCTGTTGACTGGAGCCCCGATGGGCAAAGAGTAGCCAGTGGAGGGAAAGATAAATGTTTGAGGATGTAAGTACTATGAAATGTAAGCTATATTATGGGGATGTGTCCTATCAAGCAAATAGATATGGATGTGTATGCTTGCTAAGCCAATTTGAATGTAGTTATTAGTGTAATGTTCTTCTCTCACTTTGGTCAGATGATTTAGAGTTTGAGGAATAAAAACGGAAATGGATTTAGTGGTCTTTGCAGGAGACTGTGATACAAATATATATAAAAAAAAAACTATTCTAGAATTGATAATAAAATATGTATTGGTATTTAATAAGATGGAATCGGTAAGAATCACCTGACAGGCATTGAAAGCAATGTGTGAGCAGCTCTAGCTGCATGCATTGTATTGCTGTATTCAACATATTAGTCTTTGCCAGGTGACAGATGTACTCTTAAAAATATTGCAGTGTTGCCTCCTGGGATTGGCCAGACCTGTTTGAGCAGCTGTAGTCCTCTACATTGTATTGCTGTATTCAGATTAATAGTCTTTACTTTTAAAAAACATTGCAGTGTCACCTTCTGGTCCTAGCATGTGATTGGACAATGGGGGAACAGCAGACATGTGGTCCTCTTTGTAATGATCTCAGTGTTCAATGTTACACTGGCAGCATTGTGCAGTGCAGTAGAGCATGATTGGACAGGGGTTCCTTCCTCTGGCTTGACTTCTCTTGTGCAGGGGATATTAGATGGCTAACATAAAAAACAGATTTCATCTGCTAGCCATATATAGAATAACTTCTTTTTTCATTTTATTTTCATATATCTGAATTAATTTATTTTTTATATATATATATATATATATATATATATATATATATATATATATACACACACACTTTTTTATTTGTTTTAATTTTTTTTGAAGTTCAGCTCTAATGCATTATAATTTATATTTTTTTCTGTTTCACTATTTGATTTATGTAACGTTATTCACATATTTTCTACAGATGGAGAAGATGAGCCTACAGACACAGTGATATGATTGGTGAAACAAGGTGTACATTCACTGAAAAGATGAAGATCATGCGGTTTGGTCTATGCCAGCTTGAGCAAGATACACCGTTCCTGATATAAAGAAGACCAACTATTGAAAATTAAGCTGTATGAATAGTTAAAATGTACAGCATTGCGCACTGTTGAGGTTTCTTCTGGTTTTTTTATTGCTTTAAGGAATCTACATTTTTGAAAGAATGCTTCAGTCTACAAAATTTTTGATATGGACAGAACAAATATTTCTAAAAATCTTCTGTTCTATGTATATGTGGAACAGCCACCCAGAAAATTTTAAAACTGAATTCTATTCTCCCATCAGAACATGTTAGCTACCCAGCAGTGGTAGTTTTCTTTGTTTGAAAATGTAATAACCATACCATCAAGTGTTCTGTCCATTCACCTTTCAAAGAAAGTCTCAGCAAACTTTTTATGAGCTCTACTGTCCCCCAGGTACCGAGTGCATGTAGCACTTTGTCCCGTTTGTCTGCATGGTGTGGTTGCTGAGCTAGCGTAATTGATCGGGCGCCCCCCACAACTGGCCAACCACACTGCTCACAAGAAGACTAACATCTAATGAGCGCTGATTGACAGTGCTTGCCTCAGGCACCAGGCAAACAAATGCCATCATCTGAAATACAGTGAGTGGAGGGGGAAAGGTTGCTAACTTACATTGTTCTGTAATATAGCAAAAATCCATAACCGTGCAGGCAGTTCCCAGCCAAACAGGCACTGAGTGTATTTCCTGCATCTAGTAGCTAGACTGGAAGGAGAAAAAAACTTTTTGGCTGCTGATTTACATTGTTCTCCACAGTGAAAATCCTTCACCTGACAAGCTGTACCCAGCCAAAACAAAGGCGCTGAGAGTTCTGCAAGTAGCAGAAAAAAATGTTTTCTGCTGGTGCTTCACACAGCGCTGTGTTCACATGTGCACACATGTGCTATGGGTAGCTTTTGGGTATCTTCAGTGTGAATGGTGTCAGCTTGACAGGGAAGTTCACAGACCTGGGGTGGCACTGGATCTCACCAATGGTAATGCAAAGAAATCAAACTTTTAGCAGGGGGGAGCTCACAGGCAGGAATGGAAGAACTAAAGTAGGGTTTTTCTGTACAATGCATTAGCATTTCATTGGAGAAGCAAAGAAAGGTGTTTATAATTTAATGTGTGGACAGGTATTTCGTTTTTCAATGCTCGTGAGAGTTCTTTAATACTATACAAATAACCTGCTTTATATATCAAGTTTTAGATTTACACTTTTTGTTTCTTGAAATTCTTACGCTGTACACAACTCTGCACCCGGTGGCTTCCTGTTATTGCACCCGTTTCCTATGTCCCTACCACTAGTTTAGGTCAGGTCTTGCTCAGGCTATGGACTAAATTGAACGTGCAAGAACATCAGCCTTTGGTCCAAATTATAAGTGAGCAACCAAGGTCAACAAAGTTGCTGCTGTATAGATGAACAATCGGGGGGACCATTGTCATCCCAGGACAATTGGCAAAAACTAGAACAGGAGATTCTTGGAGGAAGAATCGCCAGGTAAAATAAAGGAACAAAAAGCATGGAGCCCCAACAGCTCAGGACAGAAAAGCTGCAGTATATTTAATTTTTGTCCTTGGATTTACATAAAGAGGTAGTAAAGTCTTATGTGACATTTTTACCTACAAGTAAGCTTATAATAAAGCTTACCTGTAGGTAAAATGAGTATTTTCTAGCAAGCAACAGTCGGTGCCATCACTGGCGCTTACGATCTGAAGAAACATTATACACATGCTGTTTTGTTACTTCAGAGCTCTGTGCTGTGCCCCTGGGGCTTCCCCTTCATGACCAGGCCATTTTTTGCTATTTAGCACTGCGCTACTTTTTATATCTTTTTTTTTTTTCACACAAATAGAGCTTCCCTTTGGTGGTACTTGATCACCACTTTGGTTTTACATTTTTGCAATATAAACGAAAAAAAAAGACCAGAAACTAAAAAATAACGTATTTTCTTTTACTTTCTGCTATTAAACATCCGATAAAACATTTTTTTTAAAAAACACATTTCTTCATAAATGTAAGCCAAAATGTATTTTGCTACATCTCTTTGATTAAAAAAAAATCCCAATAAGAATATATTGATTGGTTTGCATGAAAGTGCTAGCGCCTACAAACTATGGTGTATATATACTGGAATGTTTACTTTTTTTTTTATGGTGTTTATCAGGGACTTACAATGGGACTGCAATAGTGCCGTGGGCAATCTGACACTAACTGATGTTGGGAGAACTGACTGCCACTGACATCACCAGTGCCATTAATACAGTAATCAGTGATATTATACGCTGTCACTGTATGAATGACACTGGCTGGAAATGGGTTAACATCTAGGGTGATCAAGGGGTTAAATGTGTGCCTAACTATGTGTAATGTGTGTAAAGTGTGCTGATTTTACTAAGAGATCTCTTAAGTTTCTCATCTCTGCTTTACAGGGATGAGAAACAGAGATGTTTCTCTCTGTACAAAGCTCTGTGTTGATTGTCAGCATAGAGCTCCGGGCTGTGATTGTACACAGCTGATCAGCAGGTCCCGGCTATGAATCATTGGCTGAGACTTGTTGACAGGCTCCTGCTGTGTACAATCACAGCGAGTGCTGACCGTGGGGACTCACACGCATGCACCATAAACCCTGATGCATTATTTGCTGATGTTTTATACTGATATGATGGACTTAATATAAGAAGCAGAAGCTTCCTGTGAACCCATTGGGAGTACCTCCCCTGGCCTTGGAAATAACGTGCTATAAAATATTTGCCCTTTTGTGGTTAAATGCAGAATACATTGCATGTTTTTGTTGCATTGTGAAAAAAAAACATCCACTAGATATGTATATAAATTATATACGTGTGTGTATATATAAAATAAAATGAGTTGCTTTCAAGGATTTGAAAATAAATATATTTTCATTGTTTACTATGTTTCCTTTCCTTTAAGAGTTAAATACTTTTTATAAATACTGTTATTGAAAAATGTTTAGATGGAAATCAAAGAATATGCAGTAATATACAGTATGTGAAATAGATCTAGAAAGCTAAAATTTAACCACAGAAGTCTGTAGTATGCAATGCAGAGTGCAGGAATGAGTAGCCCATAGGTTTGTAGTATGTAATACAGAGTGCAGGGGTAAGAAGTACCGCAGAGGTCAGTAGTATGTAATGCAGAGTGCAGGGGTCAAGAGTAAATTATCAGTAGTTAGTAATTCAGTGTGCAGGGGTCAGGAGTAAATACTGCAGAGGTCAGTAGTATGTAATGCAAAGTCCAACAACACAATAACCTCCCCCTCCCAAGTGTCCCCTTAGCTGTGTCAAAACTAAGGAGAAGCCTATGACTTTACTTGGCTCTGTGCTGCTCTGATCTGAGGTCTGAGAGGCAGCAGCCAGGGTTAGGAGCTGACTGCTGGTAAATCAGGATCATGGTATATCATCAAATGGCATTGATAGAGGAGTAGATGGCTCCTGACAGGTCGCCTACCCCCCCCCCCCCCCCCCTCTAAAGCATCAATTGTCCTTATGAATTTTAAGGTGGGGATTCAGGCTATTGTATTGCTATATAGAGTGTGCTAAATGACTGAAAACTGGCAAGGTGTAGTGCAGCTGATTGATGTTTGCATGCAATGGCTAGATTGATTCATTTTTCTTTTCTTACAGCTGGATGCAAAAAAGAAAAAATATTGTTTAATAGGTGTATATGGATAGAGGAGCTGGAAGTTTTTGTTTTTACTTTCTACTGAGAAATATGCAAAAACAATTGCATAGAAATGAACTTTATTCTCCTTTTTGTAAACCCAAACATTGAAGTTTATAAGTGATCTACACCTACTGGCCTGTCTTCTTTGCAGATATTTGAAATTTATTTATGCCTTGTATTAGAACATGGAAAATTGAATAACAGATACATACCATAAGTTTCCTTTCCTGATGAGCTCCACGTCAGCACAGCTGGGTAAGGGCCCCGCCCCCCCCCATGCTTTCAGAACCTAACTCATAAATTTGAGCCCACC